TCGCAACAAACATCCGAGCCATCGAGATCTTTGGAGCGAGATGACGGCAATCAGCTAAGGATTGAGGTTGTTTGAGGTGAAAATTCTTCGGCGAACCTCGTCGTTGGTGATCGGCTGTTGCAAACGTATTCTGGCGATGCAACGAAGGTAACGGTGATCAGAGACACTTAATCTCCGTACGTCTTCTGCGTGGAGGTGCCAACTCTCGCAGCTGTAGAGTAAAACACTGCGTCTTGTGGCATTGTATCGTGCGCATAATGCTTACTGATCCAAATGATAAGTCTTATCCAGCATGTCGTTAACATGCGGCTCAAATTATAGCTGATTCCGATTTTCACAAGTAACTCATACCTCACACACTCTTATCTCAAGCTCTGTTATCTAAAATATTTTCATGCCTGTAAAACCTTTCTCTGTAAGTTTCAAAGGTTGAACTCATCCGAATCAGATAAGAATCGCTTGGCGTAAGTTGTTGCTCGTATCAGTGTAATGGACTACACATTTTATCTCACACCCAGGGTTGGCTATTTACTATTTATCATAGAAAAACACCCCCGTGTATGATGAAACCGTATAACTTAGAGAAAACAATTAGACTGCACCAGCAATAAAATCCAGAATTTCCCTGGAAGCAATCGTTATGCACGCCGCAATGTGAATTCACTTAAAATGCCTTCCTTTGGTAATTTCAAAGTCTCGTGATTCATGATATAAATCACTAACGATTGAGAAGAACTTTAACTCATAAACAACTCATTTTTTCTTACTTTTAAACTGTGGAATTTACATCGTGTAGCCATTTTCCAATAAGCTGATATACCAACCTTGGTTTGACGACCTAAAGTGGATTGAAATGTCTTTTTCTCTGCATGAACTTAAACAGAAAACGTAACATAAGGCTAACCATTGAACACTGAAGCAATGACACTGTCTCTTCTTAATAAAGGGTGTAACGTCTTAGGTGTAAGTAGCTCTGGTCAACAAAACCACCCATGGACGGATCAGTATCTGCATTTCATCAGCTTCGCCTATATTTGCCACAAGCCAAGAGTAATGAGAACACTCCATGATCGTGCGATAGAAATATGTACAGCGGATTAACTCGTGAATGAAGCGATAAAACGGAGTGAACTTTCCATGCAAACGATTACTCGAACTCGCTCATTACAAAGTACAGCTCTGAACATTCAAGAGAAAGCTATAGACATCCGTAACAAAATACAAAATTCTCCAATTGTGCTAACACGAATGAATTGGTAGAATGCCCTAAGCTCATCCAATAAGAATGCATACAACACGGTTGAACCACTCTTGAGTCAAGAAACCGCTCTCGCAGTACGCCGAAATCTTAAATTTTGCCAGTTCGTTTGTTGGTGCTTAACCAAATGCCTAACTAAACTGTGAATGGCCGCAACATTCCTATGTAGATCAATAAACTGTTTAACGGATCATACTAGAACGATCAAGGTTAAAGATCACCCCAATGTTGGCATCGATTGCCCGATATCTGATGATCCTAAATAACTACGGCATTCCTACATGCAAAACTCCCGGCTGTTGCAGAAACAACTGCCTTCAAAGAATGGAAGCGTGAATCGTATAAACATAAGCATGCATTAGTAACTCATGCCCTACCATAATAGAATAGAGAATTTTACCGCCAATAGGTCATCTACGGTAACGGTAATCTGTAGTTTTTCCCTGTGATCTTCGACTGTAATACGCATCAAAGGTGATACAGAAATTGTTTCCTAGAAGCAGATTTTCGGTAAATCAACAAATTGTCGGGGTGAACAATATTAGCATCTGCATTCTATTTGGCTACGCTTTGGTTTTTATCCTTTTTTAATTTCCTCTAGTCGATAGACAGACATATCCTTTGTCATTTAACTAAGAAAATATTTTCTCACAAAGCATCCAAAATGAGTCATACATTTTTGCTAATCTTGGAAATTTACATTTCATATAACTGCTTCATTTTTCGGTGGATCCAAAATGGTTTGCATAGTTCACCAGTGAATAATTTCAAATCAATTAAGCATGTGCATAAGGAGTTTCTCATGACATTTGCAACGATTGGAACAGACCCTCAAAAAGAATTCAAAAAGGGTTGGACTGAGAAACAGTAGCAGAAACCCTCAAAATCACCAACATATTCTAGTGTCCCGCCTAGAAACAATTTGGAGCTTTCCCACAAAAGCACAAAATGACTTCTTCTTCTCATTTTGATAGGAACAAAATAGGAAATATTCTCTTACGGACGTTCTGATATCATTAGTGTATGAGATTGATACATTCGTTACTTCAATTTGGGCATTGCACTCGTCGTTCAAGAACATCTCAAACTCGTTTCCCTTTCTCAAAGATTTCCGGTTAAGTCAATGCATCAATTATTTGTAGGTATTGTATTGAAGAAATAGAAAAGTGAATCACTTTCAATGACATTTGCGAAACAGTGTGAAACGCAACTCACCCAGTTCCCTTGCTTCATGCCCAGCTCCACTCCTCGGTAATAAAGCACTGCGACCGAACGAAAAAGTACCCTTTCATTAAGCCACTTTCTTATTTAATCGGTACAAGTGTATAGATTGGAAATTAGAACTTATTATTTCTTGCCCAATATGTTTTGCCCATCTTTGTTTGCTGAACCATGGTGAACATTTGCTCTCGGCATACTCGTCAGCAATGAGCACTCTGGTCAGATCAACCAATGTCCAGTGAAACTTTGCTCGATATTCCTCAAGTAAGTGGAAGTTGAACTGGATCCCGATACCCTTGGTCGGTGATGACAAACTAAGCCGAAATCATATGTCTGGACGGATATTCCGGTTTTGTAGTTTTTCTCCAACGCTGTCAAAATCGAATACACCACAGGTTTCATAAAATCGTTTTCTTTCGAGCCGGTTGGTATTTTATACAATGAGTGTGACACTCTCCTGATTTATAATCATGATCATCATGATGATGATCATCATCAGTAGCAGGAACAGTAATATTGCACCAGCAGGCGATATCGANTGATCCAGTCGGCTGCATTAATTCCAAACGATACAACTGTTTACTTCGTTTGCAGACAGTAATCTTCATCACCTTTCAATTACGTCTCAGTCGTCTTGTGGATGACCGGAAAATTTTTTTCTAGCTTTTCGGAACGTCGTTGGAGCGGATCATAATGAAAACTGTGTATGTCTTGCACATGCCGGGTAATTCAGAAAAGCCTTCTACAAATGCTTAGAAGGAGTGTGCAACCAAAACGCGCAGCACCCTTGATGAAGTTTCATAGGTATTGTGAGGCCTTTCTCGAATCCCTACAATTGAAGTAAGACGGATAAGGCTTGTCGAGAAATTTGATAGGTCCTTACGATTACCACTGGTTTCTGTTCCATTATATTAACCTCGCAGATATCTATTGACTGGCAGTTGAAAATTCATTGCGTAAGACCGTTAAGTCGTGTAGCTGTACGGATACTACAGTCGTCTTGAGCTTTATAGAAAAAGCTCTATTGATCGTTCTTGTTTTCTTTCGTTCTCGATTCTGTCAAAAGTGTGAATGGATCAACCTTTTGTTGTATTGTGTTTCCAGTATAAACGACTTGTACAGCATTCATTGTGTAGAACTCAAACTCCAAAATTTCGATGAACACGTTCTCGCACTCTCTATCGCTCAAAAATACACACATCTCTAATTAACTACCTATTAAAAAGAGCGAATAACCTTTCAGGAAAGAGAGCAGAAGAAAAGCTTCATTTTCTGAACATTCTTTTCTCATGTGATGGTTATTTGGAACAGCTGATTGACGGCATGGTTAAGTACCGTGAGGACAATAAGAAAAGTGCAGGTAGTCCAAAAAAGTTAGCGTGCACTGCTTTGCAGATCGAAAGTGAATTTATAGAAGGAAGATTATAAGACCCGTTCCGTTGAACATTTTATGCAGTAAATCTCCACATTCCATTGGCGCTTAGGATGTTTGCATGCAAACGGCGCATTCCACGCTCTGTTCAATGCTTATGGTATTGCATTAGAACAGTTATGTTGTTTCTGTGGTTGCGTTGGAAGCAGCAAGAAATTATTTCTGTACACGTTGTATCTTCAAGAACAATTTTCTAAATTACTGAGATCCGTTTGACTCCTCGTTTATCTGAAATACCCTAATGTGTTCGGAATGAACAAATAATTTCTGAAACAGTTAGTTTATCATTGAATCTTAAGACAATATCTAACTAATAATAACTTCTGGTACATTCCCTACCTAGGCTTTTCTTATGTTTTACGATGATACACAGTGATAAATCCACAATGAGTAGCTAAACCAAATTTGGTAGTCACTATCTTGTGTTATTCGGTATAATTTAGCCTCGTCCATTTGTGAAACACCAAGGTTGTCGATCACTATTTGTGTGACTAGAGACATTTGAAAATATTTTCACCTTCAGTCAAAACAACTCAAGTATGAAAGGATCCGCGTTAAACTCACGGTTACTTGTGAGTAGTGGTGTGGGATAATTGATATCGTTTCGAATGAACTATCCTTCGGACAATAACATCACGCACAATCCTCAATTCATTCGGTCAACCATACACTACGAAGCACCATACTCGAGTTTCGCTGTTATTCTTTTTAGTTCTCAATAAATCAGATGGATGTGAAATTAATTGACCGACTGATTAAATAGTCCAGTGATTATTTGATTGATTAATTATTTAAAGAATTTAGCTTAAATAAAATGGCATAGTTTTTGATACCAGTATACAATTACCTGCTTATGATTGTATTTTAGGTGCTACCAGTCCAGTAAATGATCACACTCATGTTCCTAATCTAAAACTTACATATTGACGGAATATTTTTATATTGCTTATTTATCCGATTATTTCCCCATTGAATAAATAACTATTTGCATCAAATTTACCTTTGTGAGTACTACATGTTTCTACGTGGAACACCTGAGTAAAGGCAAAACTTAAACTCGGTCCGATTTTATCAGGACTTCCAGAGATTTCAACTTACCTTTTTGTGTTTTACACGCTCCTGTTCTTTCGGTTCCATGCGATATGTGTTTTCATATTTGACAGGTTTTTGAAATCCACTACGGAATGCACCCCACAGACTACCACGAGGACCGACAATGGAACGTCGTGGGCCCAGACTAATTTGACTTGTTCGTCTGGAGTGTAGCAGGGTTGATTGTCTTCGGCTTCCAGGTGGCACATTTCCCTCGCGAGCTGCCTTGTCGACTTCTGCAATTGCCTCCATGGACTGAAAAATAAAACCAAATGCAAATTTTACCGTTTGATCTTGTGCAATAACTGCTGTACTGATGCGAATCGCTGTAAACGAAACGAGTTCATATTTGTGACTGGCTGCATTCATGTTGACCCCTTTGGCCATTTATATCGATCTTTGTGGGGTACCTCCTCTGAATCCTACTTCCCAAAGCAACAAATATACACCAGTCTGGTGCCATGTGAACAATATCTGCTGCAAACTTGTTTAAAAGTCTACTTTAGTCTAACTATTCAGTTTTCCTGAAAACACCATCTTTCCTATTTTAACTCGTTTCTATTATGATTTCTTGCTCAGACAGACTTACTTTGGTTGTTCGTGAATATCACAGGACAACAGCACGAGATTGTTTGCATGTCTCGTAACCTTGAATTGATTCCCTACTACTACCATTACTAGTTTACCCACCATTAGTTCTTGTTGCTAAGTAGAAATTCGATTAAACAACAATCACTCTATCCCCCTGATTATCAGTGCATTTCATTAAGTGTGAACGGTTTGCGGTTGAATTCATTCGATAGTTTACTTACTCAATTTATACAAAAAATGAATTTTGCTGTCCATTACAACGATCACTCAGGTGAAAACTCGTTAAATCAATAAAAGTGAATTTTCGAATGCCAAATGGAGGTTGGTTTCTTACGCGATGCAAAACATTTTGGAAGCCTTATTATGAGCGCAGAATCAATTGAACATATAGCTTATAAAGTCATCTTGGATTAGTTCAGTACAAAATTCTGATTTAGTTTTCCTGTTTACCTAAAACAAAATTACTCACGCTAATTTCGGTCTGTATTCAACGCGTTCAACACCGTGTTTTAGGTGCTGTCTCAGCACCACCACCAAATTTATTGTTTATCGCCATAAACTTCGGCGTAATCTGCCCGCATTATATGAACTCATAAGAATAAACTAATAATTTCTGTAGGAATTCACACAACCGTGCAAGGCCATTATTCTGCTCTACACCAGTGATTCGCCTAGTCTATTTAACAGTGTATATTCACATACACGTATGCACCCATTGAGAGTAACTTTGTCTCACGGATAATTGTGCGTTCATGTGCTCCCTTGGTACTAACAACTCAGTTTCTGTTTCATCATCACAGTTGCTGCACTCGAACAAGCGGGAATAAGGTGACGTTTTGTTGTTTTCAACGGAGTTCCTAATGATTCTCTTGCAAGTTAGCGTTGAAACTAAACTTTGGTTTTAGAGCACAAGTTAAATGACAACTTGTCAAAATGGAATAACCCGAAGAGTGGGCATCACTAGACAGTTAGATTGATGTCGCGCAAGCATCTATTTAGAGTTCCTGATAGTATTATATATATATATATTTTTTCGTCACAATAACCTTGTTTGCAACACCGGGTGACCATTGGATAGACAGCTCTTTCAGAGCCAGTCTAATGAAGAAACAATGCTATGATTCGATGTTTTGTAAGTGGGTTAGATGCTACTAACCGCAACAAACGTGACCTGATGGTCTTGGTGGAATATTTGATAATGTGTAGTATGTGAATGAGTAGACAAAATTTTTGTTGCGGTTAGTAGCATCTAACNTGGACTGGCTCTGAAAGAGCTGTCTATCCAATGGTCACCCGGCGTTGCAAGCAAGGTTATTGTGACGAAAATACACTTCCTGGGTACAAGTATATGAATGAACTGACAAAAGATTACCGGATACGCATGCCTGACGAGCGNAACGTGACCTGATGGTCTTGGTGGAATATTTGATAATGTGTAGTATGTGAATGAGTAGACAAAATTTTTGTTGCGGTTAGTAGCATCTAACCCACTTACAAAACATCGAATCATAGCATTGATTCTTCATTGGACTGGCTCTGAAAGAGCTGTCTATCCAATGGTCACCCGGCGTTGCAAGCAAGGTTATTGTGACGAAAATACACTTCCTGGGTACAAGTATATGAATGAACTGACAAAAGATTACCGGATACGCATGCCTGACGAGCGGCAAAAACCGCGAAACCGGTCGTGTGCTTCCAGGGAAGTTTTGTCTACTCATTCACATACTACACACACACATATATATATATATATATATATTTAAGCACGTCACATCTTTGCAATCAAAATCGTTGCCGTTCTCACGAGGGTCCAGCTAACTTGTGTTAAGAAAGCTTGTTTGTTCAACAAAATCAGTGACTGACCTGTTTGGCGATCGAGGGCTACAAAATAATCTTTTATCTTTTCTGGAAACAATTCAATGATAAAATAAAAGTGAAAACAGAGAATTTTATTCAAATTTGGAAAAACTATCCATAATGTGAATAAAATGATCCGCAGTGCTTGATACAGTGTATCTTTTTATATCTTTTAGCGGTCGGAAGCACAGAAAACGGCATACACTTTTCTAGGTAAAACAGACAATCAGCATCCTAACCATTGACAATCCACAATCAACTTTTTTCCGACACAAAGCTCAGATAGTCTAACGGCTGGTTCATAATTCTCTTCTTTTTCAGTGGTATAAGATTACTGAATGTATTTAATTTCTAAGGAGAAAGGGATAGTGAATCAATCCGGAACTGGAAAGAAAAAACTAAACAATAAAGAAATAGGTATAAGCAAAATCGTTTCCTATTCATTCGAATAAGATGTCTGAAACACTTCACACGCTACGGACACCAAATAGTTCATAAACCTATTTATTTTCGAAACCTGGTAAAAAAACGATAGCAGTGCAGCCATCATTGTAATTCATCGTAATTCGGTTGGGTACGGGAACGACCGTCATGCTTTGCACGAATCAAAATGTTCTGTTTGACTATCTGCTCCCTCGCTCCGCTTGTATTCATCCAACCCCGGTGTAAGTCAAACAAAATCAGCTACCAATGAATGAAAGCGAATAAAAACTGAACGTTTGGTACACATTTAGGGGATATTCACTTATCATCGAGTACAAACCTCTTCGTTATTTGGCTTTATTGCTAGGCGAGACACTCAGCATCTGTCGCTAACACTCCACAAATCCCCGTTAGCAATGTGTGGTGTAGAAAGCAAAACACCGATCCCTCTTACAACTGATACGTCGGTCAATTTATAAAGATCCGTGTTTTCCCTCCAAAAGTTAAACCATTATCAAAAAGAAGTTGATAATAGCATGTAATTGAATAGGTGCATCAAAATGTGAAAGGTAATAGACTTCACCACATCTTTTGTTTCATTTGGATTTTGATATAACGATGATTGAACTACGGCTAACTTGATGAGTCTCCGTGACTGTACTAAAATCAATCGTTTCCTTTATCAAACTCTAAAATATTATTATCATCATTGATATAATTTTATTAAGTTGTCCAACCGTAATCGGTACCAATTTGCCGGTTTCATCTTTTAGTCTCCTTTCGAAGGCTGCCTTCGGGATACTAATACTCCCTGCAGTGTTTATAAAATACTTGTGTTTAACAGTTGCAGATAAATTTTTTGAACATTGTAAGAGATTTTATGGAAAATGGAAAAACGTTTGCAAGTCTGACTCAAGTCATTTGTTTTCTGTCAACCCGAACCCACCCTACTAAGTGCATTCTGGGTCCAATATGTTTAGTGATGCGTTTCTTCGACTAATTTAAGGCAACCACAGTAAATCGTCAAAATGGTAAGTTTCAACTAATTTTGGTGAACAGTGGCATTTCGATTTCCTGTCTGAAGAACTTCACTCGGATGAAATGGCATTTTCGAAAAACGGTTTTGGATATAAAACATACGCACAAAACCTCTGTACCCAAATAAGCTTACTCAAGTGTCAGTGTGATTCGACAATAAACATTCGAAGACTAAGTTAGTCAATTTGTTTGTCTTTCACTTTTAATGTCAATAACACGTTAAAATTACCCAATTTCATCTTTAACCGCTTCTATTTATTAAACAACTTCCTCGAAATGATTTATTTTCAATTGAGTGGTTATTGAGAGTACTAAGACTTTGATGCATTACCACTCTGTTCAACTGTCAGAAGTTGCTTTTGGCCCATTAAAGCTCACATTAAAGAAAAAACCTTACAATTCCTCAGGAATGAATCACTCAAAAAGAATCGTACATTCTTAATCTTGTGCCACCTTAGTTCTTTTATCTTATTTTATTATTTTGTTTTTATTTGATCCTCTTTTGGTATGGTTAATTGTCCTAAACACTAAAAGCAGAATTATAGGAACACTAAACAAAATTTTCTTAAGATAAAGCAGATCAAACGGATTACCCTACATGGATCGTCGATCACTGCAATAATGAACACTATGTTTTCTGGCTATCTATTGGTTTTGAGGAATGGAACTAAATTAATTATATACAGTGAAGTAATATAAATCACCGTAACAGCGTGTAGAAAATTTCACCTCTAGCCTGCAGAGCTGAGAAAAATCCCCTTCGAAGGAGATTCAGCAACCGAAAGAGTCAACTGGGTTCGGAGTACCACAGTTAAGACAACGTTCAATGCGACCAAAATCAGATGAGTGTCATTTGATGTCAGAAAAAGGATAAACTGCCTATGTCAACCTCACCAATGTTCATCTGTCAATTCGAGTGCATCTGTGGTCCCATTCACATAGGTCGTATGAGGAGGCATCAGTGAACATCAACTCATATCGACACGGAGGAAATGGGGTGATCTCTGAGTCGATTGTTGCATATTCGGTAAAGACTGGGTATATGGGGGCACTAATTCTGCTCCCACAACATAATTCCAAAACTGCTCCAGTTAAAACGCTAGCAATAACCGGAGCAATTATTATCCGTTTTTAAAAGACAGAATTGTGTGCTAAAAGCACTTATTCGGGAAGTCAGACATCAAAGAGACGCATGAGCTTTGTGAAGACCAACACGTACGTAACCCCGTTTTATCCAAACAAGAAAACTCGGAATAAATTTGTCCCTACCCCACCCCTTTGCAATCACCATTTGACTTCGACTATTTGACCTCTGCACACCTTCCTGTTAGTTTCTGAAATAA